ACCCGTTATTGGACACCACAGACTCGTATGGCCTGGTCACATGAAACAGCGGATTGTAATTTACTGGGATTGCTGTTTTCAGTGCCGAAATCGGATCACCTATATATATATATATATATATATATATATATATATATCGCCTTGTATCACTTCTTGACTATTCCCTATCAGCGTGGCGCATCGCGGCGTGCAAGATCGACGACCACAGTGGCTGTTTTCCACATAAACATCCTTCAATTACATGCGACTTACTTTTGTGAAGGTATTAGATAGCTCCAGGATTATCGCGGATTGCAGAAACCCGAAACATAGTTCTTACGGGACATTTTCGCCGAGGTTTGCAGGGATTCGATATGATTGCTTTCCCCAGCCTCAATTGGCATCCATTTGGATGTATGTGGCCTTTACACATCCAAGCGCAATCGAACGAACATGAGGGACCAGTGAATAGATGCTTGTTGCATCTAAAACTAGGTGTTACCCGTTCACCGTTCCAGTCCCTTGTTGATGAGTTTCATATATGAGCCTTAAGGTGCTGGTCTGCCCGTCTATCCAGGCGGCTTGTGCGGGATGTGGTCGTTGCCATATGGACACTCCTTTTTGAATGGATGTTAGATGGGGACCAGAGGTCGTCGAATTTTCCCCAAACCATAACGTCCTCATCCCTCGGATATAATACAACTCTCGAATGAACACAGTCACTGCATAGACAATCACCCGTCTTCAAGAAAACGCTGCGCCCCTGTTACCCCGCTAGATAAAATATTTTCATTAGGGGAATAGAGATACTGGATCATCCGTTTGAAGGACTCAGCCAAACCGAAATGAAAGTAGCCCTCAAAGCTCGATTGAGATGAGGACTGTGGCACCTCGTCTTTGGACTATCTCACTCTCAGTAACTCTCCTAAATGTCGTCTGTACCCTTAAGTCGACATTACTATTCACCATTACTGCTCACCCATACTCTGGCGAGCTGTTAATCACGTGCGTGCATTTTTTTACAAACTATCCTGTTGTCAAATTTATCGATGATGTTTGATCACGTAGGTCGAAATGTAGTTTTTTTATTGCATTTCTACTTTGCCTGTTTTCTTCTAGTGGCACAGAAGGCATGTCACCTGCTGGGCATCCCTTTAGTCGACATGACGAAGGCATTCTTGAAGCCTCGAATCAAGGTTGGCAAGGACCTTGTCTCCAAGGCACAAACGAAGGCGCAAGTAGAATTTGCGGTGGAAGCCATTTCAAAATCGATCTATGAGCGGCTTTTCTTATGGCTGGTTGATAGGATCAATAAAACGCTAGATCGAACCAAACGACCAGGTGCCTCGTTTGTTGGTATACTGGATATTGCTGGGTTCGAGATTTTCCAGGTTTGTAATTTCTGAAATTGCCTACCTTTGCACTTATCCCCTGTTTTGCAGCGATGGTTCAGTTGCCTTCCTGTATAAAGTCCACGGGGGTAACAGCTTTACACCAGGTCAATATCACGTGACATTGTCCATCCAAAGGCTGTCAGGTTGAGCAACATAGTTGCATGGTTTGGACTCTGATTACTTGGTACTAAGCACGTGTGCTTGTTGTAGTACGGTGCTGGGATGATCAGTGGACTTCAGTGCGCATTCATTTAGTCCGGTATGTTATGCCAGTCACAGGTGGTTTTTGCTTGTCTCTCTGTGTGTGCGTCCTCATACCCTACTGTTTATGCTTATATACGTTTTCTGAAGCACGCTCGCTCGTCATTTATGGTGTATGCATGCCTATGTCTGGTGTGCAAACTGCCAACCCCGTCAGTCAAATTTACCTGTTGAACTACTGCCTTCTGATTCTTTGGCATCCATGGGGCGGCTGAATCACACCGGTGGTGCCTACTGGCTTGAGCCACAACACATCGGATTAGCATTCGGATGCACGCGCGTGAAAACGGTGCCGAGTAAATCTCGACAAACCGCGTGGATGCGCGCGCGCGTGCGCGCTCGTTCGATCGACTTGGAGAAAAACATGCGCCGTAGCAGGAAATGATAACAACAACATTAGTGTATGTTCGCCTCAGCAGTCTGATTGCGTGATTTCCCACGGACCCGACGCATAGGACTAGTTACCAAATGTACCCTCTGCAACAGGCTCTCATCTCCCCTTTCGACTCACCTAGCATATCAGGTAACCGGGGTGTTTAACTCACGTTTCCATGTCCTTGAAGAGTATTCCATTGACACGCGTATTCCCTGGCAGTGACAATTTCCATTTCAATTGCTTGTTGAACATGCAGTACCAATGGTGGGATTGATGAGTATCTAGTTTCACTGACAAACGTGACCAAATCGCTTGCTCAATGGCGCTTGTAAATTGGTGCCGCCACATTCGCTGTGCGGCTGTTCCAATCCTCACCTCATGATGAAAGTGGAGCGTCTCGACGTCAGCAACAACCTGCTTGCAGCAGGCTGAAATGAACACAACGCAGATTCAGACTTCGAAATCATTTTGAGTTTCGTCCTCGATTTGATGCACACTGCTGTTCATTCGTCATTTTGGCAACTCAAACCCAGTTACCCAAAACAGGAAAATCACTGCAGCCTTAAATAAGGCACTTAGCGGCAATCATAATATGTTCCGCGACAGAAAGAGGTGTTTCCTCGGCATCTTTTTAGCTTCCTTTTGTTATCACATTAACCTAATTGAAGTTAGTTTAATTACTTGTCAGCCAGTTGCTTCGAGTTCATCTGCTTGACCTGGATTAGGAGGATGAAGGAGTTTGAGTAGGCCATATCCGTCCTATTTAAAAGGCAGGATTGTTAGCAACTAAATTATTAAATCCCGATTCAAACAGTTGATCGACTTCCTCTGATTCCCAGCACTAGTTTACACCAGCACCAAGGGTTAGCATTGTTTACCTTTTGTTTGTTTGTCCGTTTTGTCACTCGCTGTAACATCACATAAATGGACTGGTACACAGTACACTGGCTGCAGTCACTGGTTACGAATGCTAAAATCAGTTTTGCTGAAAAAATTTCGGCATCGGAGGTAGTCAGTCATATTTATCTACATGACTGTATTTAGGCTTGTCAAACGTGGATTCTAGTCAATTGGGAAATATTTGGACCGATTGAGTAGTCATCTTTTCAGAGGGGTTTGGTAAACAAATAAATAAATCCACTGATTGTTTGCCGTGCCCCTCCGAAAAGGGAATTCTAGTTTTTTCAGAGTTGTTTGACTCATGCTTATACCTTGCCTCCTTGTGTTCACCTACAGACCAACTCCTTCGAACAATTGTGCATCAACTACACCAACGAGAAATTACAACAACTGTTCAACCACACAATGTTTGTTTTGGAACAAGACGAATACAGTCGCGAAGGAATCCCTTGGGATTTTATTGACTTCGGTCTCGATTTGCAGCCCACAATTGATTTGATTGAAAAGGTAATTGTGTGTGCAAGGAGGCTGTGTGTTCGCGCTTCTTTTCTTGTTACTGTGTCGGTTTTCCCGTCTTTTTTTTCTGAGAAATTCGACTTCGATCGTGTTGCCCAATAAGGTGGTCCCTGACATCGATTAATATGGCCAGTCTCCCGAGCACCCATTCAGAAGTAATGCTCTATTGAGTTCTGTTTGCGTTTCCATTTTTTCCGTCCCGTGATTTTAGGTTAAATTCCACTGATCTATCGAGTGTGATCGAAAGGTCTTATAGTTAACAGGGTAGCTACCGAACATCGAAAATCCAGATTCGCGGTTTTGCTGCCGAGAGCACTGTTCCTCAGTTTGTCTGTGACGAAGACCACTAAGTGGATAACTTCCCATCGAATTTCGTTTCCTCCAAGTTATTTGGTCGGTAAGACCCGTTAATTACAGCTCAACTGTTTATCAGTCAGTCGTCACGAAGGGACTGGGTCTTAGCGCGGTGCGAATCGTTCATTTTCGTCACTTTCGGTGGCTAGCTGCCATGCCACCCGAAGGAAACACGAGGGCTGAGATACTCTGACTGAAATACTGTCCACGCTCAGACACGGTAGTCGAGATGCACAGGTGAGGTTCGAGCCACAGACCTTACAGTCTGTAAGTCCACATTCTGACCACTGATCTTCCTCAGTCTGTGACGTTTTGTTCACCCCCATAAGCCATTGAGTTATAGTAGACGGTGCGCGCGTAACACTCACAGAACCTCTCATACCGGTTTGTCGATGGATGGAGGTCTGAATAACGCGGAATCCTGGTTTTATAAGTTGGAGTTTGTAACATGTTTGGTGAATTGCTTCCTAAAAGTTTAGGCTACTCTGACAGCTTTACGTTAGCCACCTGTTTTGTGGATAAGCGTCCGAGCCTAAGGCTTTGGTTATGAACCCCAATCTTCCTCCGGATCCAGTCTCGGACGCCCTGGTACTATCCATTATTAGTTTACTATTATTATTATTATATTTATTATTATTATCACGGTATTATATCCATTAATAGAAGGAGGTGAGATTGCTCGGTGATTAGGGTGTCAATTTACTGTCCGGAAGGTCCTTGGTTCGAGCCCGACCTATGCACCTCGACTTCTGTCCAGGCTTGGGCAACCTAGCTATGTCCCAGCTTCCTTCTGGTGGCATGGCAGCTAGACGACAGCTGGACGATTACCTTTTTTGTCATGCTTAAAAATTACGATCGGTTTGTCGTTCCTGCTATCGAACAGTTTTAGCAGATACATTCTACCCGTTTCCTACCGTCATTGGCATCAGTCCAAGCAACTCACCCGTTGGAGTGCTATATGATGTCCCTGTTGGCGAAAAAGAATCGCGAAAGATGAGATACGAGCGGACTATCATTCTTTGAGAGAGTCAATGAAAGGTTTCCATTGGATAACCACGACTGGTGAGGGTGACTGAGAATTACCGATAATGCGAATTTAGGGTATGTCATGGTCAGTCAATTTTTGCTTAGTGTCTCCCTTGAGGGCATTTGGCGTTAGCTCAAAGTTTGTCGATACTTTGATGTTAAAATTTCAGGTAATGATTGGGACACCATGGAAGCTAAATTGTGAGTTCCTGACTGCTCTCCTATTCTCACGCATCAGTCTCTCTTGAGTTCTCTCCGTGGAAGTCCTAACCACGGGTTGGTTTTAAGCCTTGAGGAAGGGTGCAACGCTTCGGATTTTGTGACAAGCGTCGGACACTCCTCTAGGACACTTTTTCAAACTTCTACCGCGGCACTTGGAGTCCTAAGATACATTTTGCGATAAATACTGAGACGTTCCTACATTTTGTTCATTTTACGCAAACCAGTGGGGGAATCGCAAGAGGTTGTTTAGATTTTTTTGTTGGGTATCGTTGTCCTTATGAACTTATATGAACCGTGTTTCGCCTGAACTTAAATAACAGACGCGCTGTTTCATATTTATGTCTTCTGGGACTGTTTAATATATGCCTCATCAACAGTGGCCATTGTTGTTTGTTTGAACCTCATTTCCGTATTTTGAAAGCCCTTAGGAATTTTGGCTCTCCTGGACGAGGAATGCTTCTTCCCCAAAGCCACAGACAAGTCGTTCGTGGAGAAACTTTTGAAAACTCAAGAAGCTCACCCGAAGATATGCAAGCCGGACTTCCGATCTTCAGCGGATTTCGGTGTCCTTCACTACGCCGGCCGAGTGGATTACGTCTCTGCTCAGTGGCTCACCAAAAACATGGACCCGTTGAATGATAACATAGTTTCGTTGTTTTTGGCTTCCAGTGATCCATTGGTTCAGGTGGGTGTATTTTCCATGGATGATTACCTCGGTTTCATGGATTGTACCCACTTTGTCATACTACCTTTGTCATATTACGCCCTTTTCACGTTTCATAAGTGTGTTTTTGCATCTAGCTGTCAGACCTTAGACACTAGATACGTTTTACTATATACCGAGTCGTACCGTCCATCCTGAAGCTCTGTGATATACGCCTGACTAAGGTTTTACTGAGTTGATTCAATATCCCCAGATCTACTAGTTATTTGTTTCCTACTTGTTGAGCCCTGCTTGTTGCGTACGCCCACACAGAGTGGTTGTTAGATTTCACGATTTTTTTTAGGTAGGTTGCTTCATTCGGGTTTTTCTGTTCACAAACCGTGCACCAAGTCCAAGCTGCTACAGCTTTGTTCATCGAGAATAAGGAAAATAAGAGAACGAAAGCCGCGCGTTGGAGGCGATGGCTTAATCAGTTCGTTTATTCGTTCACATAGTTCTATTTGTCCGGTATGACTGACGGTCATAGTCAAGACAGTTGCTACCTTCACCTTGTTTACTGCGTTCTCGTCTGGATGACCATATACCATTACCAGTAGATCCTCTCTGAGATTCATGGGCTTTTCCTGTGCTGAGATTAAGCTCTAGTTCAGAGTTCCGGTTGCAAGCCACGCACTTTCTATGATGCTTAGATGGCAAGGAATATATTACATTGATTGTTTGGGCCGCCAATTTTGTGTTCGCCTTCTAAGTCTCTTGATGTTCGGGACATAGTTCTGAGTATTTTCTCGACTGTGGTCGACGTGGGTGTAAACGCCCGCCTTAATTCATTACAAAGTCTGTTCACTGCTTGTCGGTTTATTCCGTGGAGGTTCATGTGCCTTCAGTCCAAACTTGGACGTGCATATAACGCATGTTGAGGTAATTAGCGTTACTGTAGACACTTAAATTCTTTGGATGGTTTAAATCACCTCATATGTTCACGATTCACCTTTTGATCCCCGCTTTGATTATATGAACAGAAGTTGCGACAAACAACAACTTAGAAGAATGTACAAATGTCCCTTCTACTCAGTGGTTCCATCGTGGCTTATAACCGAGCCTCGTGTTTTAGTTTTATCGCTGTGTTTTGGGCAGCTTTTATGAGTGTGCGGCGGAATATTTCGCCTCTGGTGTGTGTGTGCGCCAGATATTCAGACCTGCGTATCCGTACCTAGGACGCTAGTGCATCATGGCAAGCGGTATTGTAGTCACCACTCTCTGTTATCTAGGTCACTACAAGCTGCGAATTTGTGGACTGACAAGGCGATCTCAAACAGGAGCCACAGGAACTGCATTCTATCGTGATTTTCTACTGTGAATTCAGTAACCGTTCAGTTTTAGTTCGTTAATTTCAGGCTCTTCTTCAATTAACCTGTTCCAGAGAATGATACTGTATTAGGGAGGAGTGAGATGGCTCACCGGTCAGAGCATGAATTTACTGACCAGAAGGTCCGTGGTTCGAATCCGACCTCCGCCCCCTCGAATTCCCCTGTCTAGGCTTGGGCAACCTGGCAGTATCTCAGCCCTCGTGCTTCCTTCTGGTGGCATGGCAGTTAGGCACCGAAAGGGTGTCACAACTGAGCCCATTATATCACTGTATTAGGCTAAACTATTGGTCAAAGCAAGTTCAGTCCAGTCAAGAGTACTGCGCTAATGTGCCAGGGTATTGTGCCGATTTTGGTCATCACAGCCCATTTAGTGTGATGATCTTTTGGTACACAGCGTCTGAGCAAAAGGAACCAAATGTTCCGAAAACTAGGAGGTGCACTCACTTTGGGTATGAGTTTTGTTCATTTGAAAGGGTTTGAATGAAATGATTCTGTTTCCTCGCTAAGAATTCTTGAATGTCTTTCCCTCATAGGGAGTACTCTACTGCTCATCACTCTGGTACTGTCGTGGCTGATCTACGGTATTGTTCACCTTTTACCTAGCGTTCTCCTCAGCGCTTCTTATGCATTTGCTTTCTCTCACTCCTCAGTTATTCCACCGGTAACCACCTTTGTTTTGATAATTTAGGACATTTACAAAGATGCAGAGATAATAAGCATGTCAGCTACAGCAGCCAACGATACGGCTTTTGGTACTGCTCGTGGTGTGCGCAAAGGTATGTTACGTACGGTGGGCCAGTTGTACAAAGAGTCACTGGTTCGTCTGATGGCTGTTTTGAAAAACACTTCGCCCAGTTTCGTTCGCTGTATTATTCCGAACCACGAAAAACGTCCTGGACGTATTGATCCCCCGTTAGTACTGGACCAACTCAAATGCAACGGCGTTCTCGAGGGTATTCGTATATGCAGACAAGGGTTCCCATCCCGCGTTCTGTTCCAAGAATTCCGGCAGCGTTATGAGATCTTGACACCGAATATAATCCCTAAGGTATGTTGATTTTTCGGAACTACACTTATTTGCAAACCAATCTCTTTTTTAACGGCAGATTCAGTTGGATCGCTGTTGAATCTCTCGTTTATGATATTCTTCAGAATTCCATTTATAAGGTTGCTGAAAACTCTTGGATTGCCCACGACCAGTTTGGCTCTTCCTGGGGCTCTTCAGGTGGGCAACCGTATGAGTGGTGTTCCGTCAAAGAAGATATTTCTACTTATTCTGCCTTTTTTATAACGTTTGCTCATCTTCAAGTGGATTAAATATTGTGTCGTCTGATGTGAAAGTTAAGAGGGATTCAGTTTAACACGAAAACCTAGTAGCCCATAAATGGCAAGTTCACCAGGACGTGGAGAAGATAATTAGAGGATTAATTGTGGCGAAACGTGGCCAAGAAAAAGGTGGAAGAATTTTGTTCAAACTAATTAAACAGGTGGTCGTACGTGTTTCACTGAAAATGACTGATTTGCGTACTCTGAGTAGCCGTCGCCATTACCCAGACGTACCATACGAATGGGCGGCCTAGTGTGAATGGACCTCAGGTTATCAATATTCTCTCAAACAATTCATTTGGAGCGGGAGATAAATGACTTGGTACGATGCAATGCAAACTTGATCCAATCACTCGAGGCGCGCTTTCCGGCACGTTTGTGAGTAAGCAGCAATTTGTTCAACCCTTCAATATATA